TGGGGGGTACCGAATGGTGTACCCCCCTCACAATGTGTGCGGGGCCTGTGTGTGTTTAAAAATGGCGGCTTGTGGTCCCCACCGCCTAAGGGGAGTGAGGTGTAAAAGATTATGTAAAAATTATGTACTTGTAGCATAACTCTTATTTTTTTGACTCAATACTCCTTGGGATTGTGTTCTAAACACAAGTACACTTATTTAGATATTTGCTTAGCAAACGACCTTCTAAAAGCTAATATCTTTCTTACATGAATGATTCAAGTCCATTGACTCTACATCTTCCTTCTCTCGATCCAATTACTGTTTCTATTACACATTGTATAGAACTATAACCATCATGGTAAACCTTCATTTTATTTCTCAATGTTGCTGGTTCAATAGCAATATTTGATCCGTATTAACGATAATTGACGCTTCACAAGAATGGGGAGCAAAATGAAGTATCCACAAAACTTTTGGTCCAAATATTGACACCATTTAGATACTTAGTCCACATTCTTAAATTATACAAATTAGAAAAGGGTTAATTTCACAAATGGTCACTGAAGTTACAGCAAAATTTCAAAATGATCACTGAAGTTCGAAACTTGCATAAACCGTCAATCAACTTTCAGTCACTTTCAAAAATGGCCACTGAGCAAAATTAAGGGACTTTTTTATTCTAATTGAATCTTAAATTAACAAAACACGGCCCCTTCAAAATTTGAGAACCTGAAGTACAATTCCATTTTTTCTATAAATTAAAGTCCTCAATTGAAATAAAAGCCCCAAGCCAAGAGAAGTAAAGGCTCTGCATTTTCTCCCACCACGACCACCATCCCGCTACCACCGACCAACTGGGTTTTCTAATTCTCTGAAGCCATTGCTAGTGACTTCTCAGTATGGACTTCATGGTTAACTCGGTTTAGACCTGGAATAATATCCCAAATTTACCAAAATGACACGATTAAAATCCAATAAATCAGAAAATCCAGGAGAAAAATCACAAACTTTATCCCTAAAAATGTTCTTACTGAACCAGTTGTAGATGGTTTGCGCTCAGATTGTTGTGGTGCCATAAAGGGGGGAACTCTCAAATGGCAAAGCAAAAGTGGAAACAACATGGAGTGGATCTGAATTAGTGGCAAAAGGATCTGACGGAGAAGCTGAAAATAATCTATTTTGAATTACTGGCAAAAGTGAAATGCACCATTTTTTATGCTCAAAGCGTCAAAAGACACGATTTTTTGTGCGTTTTTGTTGGGTTGGTGAATCAATTTCGTGAGTGCAGTTGAAATCATTGTTTTCTGGATGTACAGGAATAAAGAGTCTTGGTATAAAGGTTGAATCTTTGTTGGTTTTGGAATCGGGTTGATTCTTGTAATGGATTTAGGATATGGGCCGGTCGTGGTCATGATGGCCCTGATGGGAGATGTGGCGACGGATGGTAGTTGATTTTTTGTGGGGTGGGGTGGCGACGAAGATGAACAGTTGAAGACTTTAATTTATATAAAAAAAATGGAATTGTAATTCAGGTCCTCCAATTTTGAAGGGGCTGTGTTTTGTTAATTTAGCTTTCAATTAGAACAAAAAAAATCCCTTAATTTTGCTCAGTGATAATGGGTGTCAAACGGGCTGTAAAAGTAACATGTCATTTCTAATAATTATTTTTTGGGAAATGCCAGATGTACCGAATGGGGGGTACCGAATGGTGTACCCCCTTCACAATGTGTGCGGGGTCCGTGTGTGTTTAAAATGGCGGCTCGTGATCCCCACCTCTTAATGTGAGTGAGGTGTAAAAGGTTTTGTAAAAATTATGTACTTGTAACATAACTCTTATTTTTTTGACTCAATACTCCTTGGGATTGTGTTCTAAACACAAGTACACTTATTTAGATATTTGCTTAGCAAACGACCTTCTAAAAGCTAAATTTCTTTCTTACATGAATGATTCAAGTCCATTGACTCTACATCTTCCTTCTCTCGATCCAATTACTGTTTCTATTACACATTGTATAGAACTATAACCATCATGGTAAACCTTCATTTTGTTTCTCAATGTTGCTGGTTCAATAGCAATATTCGATCCGTATTAACGATAATTGACGCTTCACAAGAATGGGGAGCAAAATGAAGTATCCACAAAACTTTTGGTCCAAATATTGACACCATTTAGATACTTAGTCCTCATTCTTAAATTATACAAACTAGAAAACCCTACCAAAAAAAGGAAAAAAAAAATTAAATAAAAACATGAGCAAAAATGAAAACCCCAGAAGCAGCCGCCTTCTTATACCTCTCACTTGACACCTTCTCACAAACCAGCCTCCATCATGGCTTCTGAGAAAGAGGCTGCTCTCTCTGCTGTTCCATCTGACTCCCCCACCATGTACTCTCTCTCGCTCCATATATATTTTATTTATGTATATATTCATATATATGTACATATGATTATGGGGGTTTTTTTGTTTATTTTTGTTTTATGGCTTGTGACATGCAGATTCGACAAGATAATCAACAAGGAAATTCCGGCTAACATTGTATACGAGGATGACAAGGTTATTTTTAAGTATTCATTTTTTGACGAGTTTTTTTAGAAATATATTATGCTCTTTTGATTTTATTGTCGTTGTAAGATTTTCTTGAAATAGAAATGGATGCTTACAAGTTACAAGTAATGGATAAGGTTATGTTATATTTTTGTGAAGAAATGAAAGAAAAAAGGTCTTTTCATAACGTTAAAATGAAAGTCAAAATTGAATTCTTGCTTGATTTTTACTGAATTGGAAGGGAATATGTGTGTAATTATGGAAAGGGCTATTTTATTTTTTTTCGTATTTTTGTTTGCCAAACATGGTGTGGCAAAATGAAAATTATTTGTTTTGATGTTTATTTTTTTTACTTATGCAATTTTTTTTGCATTCTTTTACCTCCTCACCTCCCCCAGCCTTGATATATTCTCTCTCTAACATAGATATAGAGACAAATTTGCAGTTTCAAGATTTTCATGATATTGATATAATGATATTGTATCACGCCTCTTTGAGTAGCCGTATGAACAACTTCAAGTGCATTTCATATCTGGCTTAGTTAGGAGGCCAACAGTAATAATCAGATTTTTGGATCTAATTGCCAAGGCAATTTGAGTGGACTGTTTGTTCTCCATCAATTGTCCTCCAAGCAGCCTTGGACAATCCTTTTATATAATTATGCACCACATTTATGCATGTCATAAGGTGTCGGTTGTTTGGGTGCTTCTAGATAAACCAGAGGAAGGAGAAGGAGCAATATGTAGCTGCACATTGTGAGATTTGATTTCACTTTACTGAATCAAATTTCATCTAGTTCTCTCCTCTTCCTCCATTTTCTCCGTTTAGATTCCTGTCAATGATGGATTTATTTAAAACCCTCATTGAATACAGATTGCTTGTTAATATACTCATTTCATTGCCTCTTGAATAACCGAAGTGGTGGTGAAACCCGCACGTATAATTGGGTTCAGACGGGCACAAATAGAGATTGAAACAGTTTGAGGATGAGGAACTCTCTCTTCATATTCATGTTCCTTTTGTAGTTGATTTCAAACATATTTCTATTCTCTAATTTGCATCATTTGAAACATATTATTGTAGTTTTATTATATCAATTTTAGTTATTTTGTAAATTCCGGTTTTAAGTGTTTATGTATGTATATTTTATGGGTTTACATTATTATTTCTTTATTTGGATTCCCGTCATTGATGGATTAATTTAACCTGCTCGCAATATAGAATTGCTTGTTGATGTACCCATTGCATAATTTGCATTGCCTCTTGAATAACCGAAGTCGTGGTGCGACCTGCACACATGCCATTTGGTTCAGACGGGGGCACAAATAGAGATTGAAACACGGAAACAGTTTGAGGAAAAGGAACACTCTTTATATTTGTGTTCCTTTCCTAGTTGATTTCAAACACATTTGCATTCTCTAATTTTGCTTCATTTGAAACATATTGTTTTAGTTTTTATTATATCAACGTAGTTATTTTGTAAATTCTGATTTAAATGTTTCTGGATGAATTTTTTTGGTTTTGATGATTATATTGTCCTTCTCTCTTCTACCTGTATTCCTTTCCTATAGGTCTTGTCACGACCTACACCCCCACAGAAATGCTAGAATTTCTTTATTTAGATTTCCTTCAATGATGGATTGATTTAAAATGCTCACTGGATATGGAATTGCTTGTTAATATACTTAATGCATTGCCTCTTGAATAACTGAAGTGGTGGTGCAAGTTGCACATGTACCATTCGGTTCAGACGGGGGCACAAACAGAGATTGAAACACAGTAACAGCTTGAGGAAAAGGAACGTTCTTTTTATATTCGCGTTCCTTTCCTAGTTGATTTCAGACACATTTTTATTCTCTAGTTTTTCTTCATTTGAAAATCATCATCTTAGTTTTTAATATATTAATTTGGTCGTTTTGTAAGTTTTGATTTAAGTTTTCACGCACACAAAAACATTAACAACATTAACATTTCTTTATTTAGATTTCCGCCATTGATGGATTGATTTAAAACGCTCGCTGAAAATAAAATTGCTTGTTTATATATTTACTGCATTGCCTCTTGAATAACTGAAGCGGTGGTGTGACCTGCACACACACCATTCGGTTTAGACAGGGACACAAACAGAGATTGAAACTGTTTGAAGGAAAGGAACGACGTCTTTAAATTCCTGTTCCTTTCTTAGTTTGTTTCAAACACATTTCTTCACTAATTAGGCATCATTTGAAACTCATTATTTAGGGGGTGTTTGTTTCTGATTTTGAGAATTGATTCTCAAATCAATTCTCATTTTCAACCACACATTCTTCAATAAAATGATATTTTCCATCACATCAATAATTTTTTCTTCTTTTTCAACCACACATTTCTCATCATATTACTATTCAAAATCAATTCTTCCCCTAAAAATCCCTACCAAACAAGCACTTAGTCTTAATTGTATTTAGTAATTTTGGAAGTTCCGATTGAAGTGTTTTGGTTGTTAATGTTAGGATTTCTATGACATGGTCCCCAAGTTAATTTTCTTCTAACAAGTGGATTTTTCTTTGATAGATTTTTCAATTTATCAATTCACTATGTTTTGAGGTTTGTATTAATGAATGATTGTTACTTGTCCCTAAATTAAATTTGCTGTCGGAGTATTGGGAATGGATTTCAAATGTATGACATACATTGTTTATTAAATGGAACTTCTCATCCTTCAATGCATTAATTGTTTATAGGACACTTGCACACCCTAAATAATTATCCTCGTTCCAAAGGGAAATCGTACAATGGTCAAGTGAAATATTTCCATTAATATTCATCATTTTGTTTAAAAGATATTTTACTTAAAAGACGAAGCAGGAGGACAAAGTACGAGACAGTGGGGCTGAGGAAGGAGATATGGGGATTTTGACGAAAAAGAAAAGAGTCTTGATTTCATAATTTTGAATAGCGAGGCTTTTTTCAATTCTCTCTGCATGTTGGTCCTTAAATAATTTCCTCTTCTTTTACTGTTCTTTTCTGCAATAATAAATTTATAATGTATCTACCCGTAGACGAGTCGTTTCATTGGTTTTTACTTTAAGCTTTAATTTGTTTCGTAATTTTCTTGATGTTTGTCACTTTTTTTCTGTACAGGTTCTAGCTTTTAGGGACATAAATCCCCAAGCGCCCACTCACATTCTTATTATCCCTAAAGTGAAGGATGGCTTGACTGGAATTTCTAAGGTACTTCTCTCCATTGTTTCAATGTTTTAGGGCATTCCTTGATTCAATTTTAAGCTGCATTTGTGGCTCAATTTTTGTCCAAAATTCATGTCACTCTAATCTGGTTTGAAATGAGTACAATCATCGTTACTTCTAACTTAAAAATATCGATATCAATATTTTGGTTTTCATGTGCGACTGTTGAGCTCCTCTGCCTTTTCCCAATGCAGATGTTTTGTCTCCTCTCTAATAATTACCAAAATATGATTCTCAGATGAGTTTGTTACAGTTATTTAGCGCATAACATTTCTCTTGTATTATAACAATGATAGAATTCCATCAAGTTTTCATGCACCCGAAACAACTTTCTGACAATCTTTTGACACCTGGTTAGTGCTTCGCACTTCAAAAGTGAAAGCAGAGAGGGGGGGTGGATAATAGGGTGAGAGGGAGAGGAAATGGGGGTTTCTCTTTGAACTCTAAAAAACTTCTTGTTTGGTCTTTGGATTCAATTTTATTTTCTATTGCCAAATAATAGGCCGAGGAGAAGCACCATGAGATTCTAGGCCAGCTGCTTTACACTGCAAAGCTCGTTGCTAAACAAGAAGGCCTCGAGAAAGGCTTCAGACTCGTGATTAACGATGGACCTGATGGATGTAAGTATTCTTTCTTTCTTATTTGCTCTCAACAGTCAGCATTTTTTTTCTTCCCTTGTGTCTGAAATCGGTTTTTGACAGGCCAATCCGTCTATCACCTTCACATACACCTCCTTGGAGGACGCCAAATGAACTGGCCACCTGGTTAGACTGGAGTTGCAATGTAATTTCTGGTCATCCATGCATGGGTTGATATATGAAAATAAATTTATTAAGGTAGCCTGGTTTGTACTGGAGGGGCTTCAAACCTTTAACCTCTCCCAACCATGGATGATATGAATTTACTATATTGTATCTGGGTTTGTCTTCGCCATCATGACCTGGCTTCTTATTGTTACAATGATAATCTCTGTGGCTTATTTGAGTTACTAAGGATTCTTTGGATATTTGAATGGCCTGGTTTCTACTAAGATCATCGTTCTAGTAATATTATGACAAGAATCACACCCCGCTTTAGAAATCGAAGCTAAAATATCGTTATAAAGAAAAGCATTCGAAGCTAAAATGTTAATCCCTTTAAGGCTTTATAGAGCTCCAACCGCATTGCATTCTAGAAAAAGCGACCGGTTATCTTTCTATACGTGATAAAAGATTTCACATACGTAGAGTTGGACTTCTGAGTGTGTGTTTTGTAATGATTCGAGCTTGTGTTTATATTATTGCCCTGTTTGTGAGAGATTTTGATTTTTCTACAGTAAATTAATTCTCATTTTTAACCACACATTCTTCAATAAAATAATATTTTCCATCACATCAATAATTTTTTCTTCTTTTTTAATCACACATTTCCCATAAAAATAAATTTATTAAGGTAGCCTGGTACTGGAGGGGCTTCAAACCTTTAACCTGTCCCAACCATGGATGATATGAATTTACTATATTGTATCTGGGTTTGTCTTCACCATCATGACCTGGCTTCTTATTGTTACAATGATAATCTCTGTGGCTTATTTGAGTTACTAAGGATTCTTTGGATATTTGAATGGCCTGGTTTCTACTAAGATCATCGTTCTAGTAATATTATGGCAAGAATCACACCCCGCTTTAGAAAGCGAAGCTAAAATATCGTTATAACGAAAAGCATTCGAAGCTAAAGTGTTAATCCCTTCAAGGCTTTATAGAACTCTAACCGCATTGCATTCTAGAAAAAGCGACCGATCTTTCTATACGTGATAAAAGATTTCACATACGTAGAGTTGGACTTCTAAGTGTGTGTTTTGTAATGATTCGAGCTTGTGTTTATGTTATATGTACTGTTTGTTTTGGACGAGTTTTTGCTCATCTTACCTCTTTTGCATATCTAATTAATATATTTCAGTTTAACCTCAAATTAATATCACCAACGTTAAACAGAAAAAAGATTCTATTCACTGAATGAGTATAGTGTCTAACTATGCTCGGTTAGAAATTAAAATTCTTATGTCAAAGTCAATAATTAATTTAAATCACATATTTTATAGAAGTCGTGACTTTTTAATTATATATTTCATCAATTTTTTGGTAAATAAACTAAAAATCAGATTTTAATCTTCATCAAATAGAGTCTTGTGGTCTTATGTATATTTAACGTGCAAAGCATGCACTAGCTCAAATAGTGGAGAAATTGGTCGTCAAATTATTATTTTAACAATAAGTTAGTCTCCAACCTAAAAATGAGCAAATTAACCTCCAAATCCAGATTTGTCACGTGTTACTTCAAATTAAGCACTTATTCAAACTAAATTTCCTAAAACTGGACATATGAGCATCATTTGACGATTTAATGTTGATTTTAATTTCTTTACGTTATTGATTATGCAACAATAAGAAAATATTTGAAATCAATTTGTTTACCTTTAAAGCTCATTTCTTACAAAATAATAGGTCTGGGTCGAGATTCGGATTCTACGAATTGACTCGCAAACCGGCAAAGTGTAATGAATTATTCCTGTCTGAACTCTCTTTCAATCTACAGGTACTAAGTTGACCGAAGAATTTTCTTCGCCTGTTCCATTTATCAAATACTTCGCAGCTTGACGTCAGAAGAAATTTAAAAGGTGCAAAAGAATAGGGTTTACTCAGGATTTATTAAAGAGTTTCCAATTATTTTGGTTCGCTGCATCTGTTTCAGGTGAGTCATGAATTTGTATTCAATTTTTCAAAATTTAATTTCTAGATTATACATTTTGTGATTCTGTTTGCAGATTTACAATTAATTGTGGGATCACCTTTTTTTTTTTTTTTTTTTTTTTTNTTTTTTTTTTTTTTTTTTTATTGTTGTTGTGATTGTACGAAATAGGTTAAGGGAATTTTGGTAATTTCTAATTCATGACATCCCGGACGTTGAGAAGAAGGCTCCACCATGGAGATGTTGACGGTAGAAGAAACGAGAATTTGGAGACATCACGATTTGATTCTTTAGACGAGCCATTACTCGGAAATAGAGACTATGATGACTTGCACTCAGAGGTAAGATATAGAATTGAATGAAAATTGGCTGTTAAATTGTTGTTTTGGATGTAACTGTAATGATATTTGGAGTGTTTGGTATGTGTAGGGCCATTCCCTTGGTGAAATTTTGGATGATGGGCGGCGTAAAGAAAACTTGCATTGGACAATGCTTTTTTCGCATGTAATTGCTCAATGGGCTCAGTGGTTAGGTGTGCCATTATTGAGATTTACTTTCGTTGTTCTGAATTTTTGCATGCTTATGTTTCTATTGAATTTGGTTTCTGCTTTCGCATTAAAATTTTCTAAGTTTGAGTCATTAGTATATACAGAGTCGCCATTTGGCATTTAGGATTCTTGGAGCAAATATGTTTTGTTTTCGATTATAGAATTGCTGCCTGTATATCAAGCGAATTTTTGTTTTACTGTTGTAGAGGAGTCTCGTACTTACATGCAAACAAGTAATCACAATATTTTGAATCTGAAAATCACAATATTTCACAAATAAGAAATTAAGCATGCATTCATGGCTGCAAGGGAACCTTTCTTTAATCAAAAAGATTTTTGAGAGTGGGGAAAGGCAAATAAGTTGCAACTTGCCAATTTCAATTTGGCGGCAAAGATGGCTTATTGGCTTGGTACTGAGCTCAACTTTCAAATGACATGAGGATGCCTTTTCATTGCAAACTATCTTTCAGATTTTTTAAGCAACCTGATAGCTGGACTTATCTACAAGGGAAGGATAAATAAATTGCAAGGTCAAGATGGCTACAAGCTTTAGACTGGAGCTCAAGTTCCAATTGTGACAGCCTTAGTTCATAGGATGATAGTTATATGTTAGCAAAGAGAGGCATCCTATCCAAACCCAGTAGATCTATTAACAGCTATTATTCCTCGGAGAATCTGCCAAAAACTTGTACTAGAATTATTGGATGGTTGAAGAAAGGAAATACCATTCCAGTTCATGGTGAAACTGTTTGGCCTCGTATTAGTCCAGTGCCTTAAAAACATGCGGAGCATATAATATTATTTCTATCGTAGTTATTATTTTTTAAATAATGAGGATCAATAATTTCCTCAATTTCTGATAAGGATCAATAGTATCATCTTTTTCTTTCAATAAATATTGTCTTTGGCCTGGGTCATTTACTGAACACAGCTATTGCCCTGTTATTATGTTTTCAAATAATGATTTTTTTTATAATTGAGAAGGATCAATAGTTTCATATTTCTGTTTTCAGCAAATATTGTCCTTGGATCTGGGTCAGTTATTGGACGTCTTTTGCCATTTGTATCGGGCACTCAAAATGGACCTAATGGGAAGATTTCTCCGCCTTCACTCAACCCCTTACAGGTATGATCTAGTGATGTTATTGATGATTCTAGGTGGTAGGATTTTTACATTTAATTCATGTTTTTTCCTTGATAAGAGTCAGCGATTCATTACACAGATCTTGGCTGTCTTAAATGTGTAAACATAGTTTAAGTGATTTTTGCTTATTTTACCTAACTTGTGGACTCCTAGATAACATAGGAATATGAACTGGTTGCCCATTGCTTTTACCTTATAGCTTGATCATATGTTACCTTGAATATTTTCGGTCTGTGTTGTGCTTGTGTTTGTAGCAACGGTCGCGATCCATTGGTTCGTATAGAATCCTTGTCCTAGGTGTATGCCCCTACCCTTACCCCTGTTATGGAGGTCGGGGATGGACGTGGCATGCTACCCCAATAGCTAATGATTCTCCCCTAGGCGAGGGGCAGAGTAATAGTTCTGACTTTCTTCTTGCAATTTCTCTACTTGTGTAGCTTTTCAATTCTGTACATAAGTTTCCAGAGAATGAATTGGAATGCTAATCAAATTGATATGTGAATTGCTGAGGGGATGAGAATGGATCATTAAAGAAGGTAGGCAAGCGATATCAGATATTCTATCTAATCGTCGATATAGTATACCAAACATGCTGTGCAAGTTTAATTATTATCTCATTTTTCCTGTGTCATTGCTTTTCTTCTATTGTTTCCATCTATTTGTCTACAACAAAAATGGATGTTGGCATTAATTCAACCCTATTGTTCTTCAATCAATTGGATACTGTTTATTTCACTTCTACTTATTTTGGGTTATGAAAAAAAAATTTTACTTTTCACCCTGAATTTCTTTTGCAAGCTATTTCTACTTATGTTGACCTCTGCATTTATTCAAAGCATTTTCCATGAGAAGAAGGCAGGTGAGCTTGATTTAAATGTTCTTCTGTCAAAAAATATTAATCATGAAGTGCTTTATGGCAAAACCTTCTTATGCAATTTATGTGTATATAGTCTACAAAAGAATTTAAATAGTTTCTATCGTAGTTATTATTTTTTAAATAATGAATATATAGTGAGGATCAATAATTTCCTCAATTTCTGATAAGGATCAATAATATCATCTTTTTCTTTCAACAAATATTGTCTTCGGCCTGGGTCGTTTACTGAACAGCTATTGCCCTGTTATTATGTTTTCAAATAATGATTTTTTTATAATTGATAAGGATCAATAGTTTCATATTTCTGTTTTCAGCAAATATTGTCCTTGGATCTGGGTCAGTTATTGGACGTCTTTTGCCATTTGTATCGGGCACTCAAAATGGACCAAATGGGAAGATTTCTCCGCCTTCGCTCAACCCCTTACAGGTATGATCTAGTGAAGTTATTGATGATTCTAGGTGGTAGGATTTTTACATTTAATTCATGTTTTTTTCCTTGATAAGAGTCAGTGATTCATTACACAGATCTTGGCTGTCTTAAATGTGTAAACATAGTTTAAGTGATTTTTGCTTATTTTACCTAACTTGTGGACTCCTAGATAACATAGGAATATGAACTGGTTGCCCACTGCTTTTACCTTATAGCTTGATCATATGTTACCTTGAATATTTTCGGTCTGTGTTGTACTTGTGTTTGTAGCAACGGTCGCGATCCATTGGTTCGTATAGAATCCATGTCCTAGGTGTATGCCCCAACCCTTACCCCTGTTATGGAGGTCGGGGATGGATGTGGCATGCTACCCCATTAGCTAATGATTCTCCCCTAGGCGAGGGGCAGAGTAATAGCACTGACTTTCTTCTTGCAATTTCTCTACTTGTGTAGCTTTTTAATTCTGTACATAAGTTTCCAGAGATGGACCAAGTCTTTGTTGCATGTGATTGTATCATATGAATTCAGCAATTTGCCTATTGATTCTGTTTTCACAAATTAAGAAATGTCCTGTACTTTAAGTCATTTGACAATGCATGTAATTTTCATAGAAATGATAGTCAACAAACATTTTACATGCTCAATTTAATTCTTCTACTTGTAGCAATGAAATATGTAGATATATGCTAGAGGGGCCGTCTACAAAGGATAATCTAATCATTGAGGCTATGGGATATAATGTGAATTGTCTAGAATACAAGTATTTTCTATGTTATTTATTATCAAGAAATGTTGTTTCATTTTTTAATTTATTCGCCTCCAAAAAGACTTGCTTCCTGTCATTCTAGTTTACATGTTCATATATGTATACATAAATATACATATACATATATGTATACATATACATATATGTGTGTGTGTGTTATAGGTTTAACTATACTTCTTGTTGATTCTTGAGTTGGTTTGGAAATAGGAAGCAAGACTCAAATATCTGAAGCAAAGGCTGGCAGTTCCTTTTGACAGTTCTTCTTCTGAGCATCAAGTATGTATACTTCTTTTCTTTATTTAGCATTCAGATTTTATTACAAATGGTACACTCTCAATTGCATGATCTGAAATTATTTTTTTGCAGAATTAGCACAGATTTGTATAAACTACCATAGTACTGAAATAATTCATACGGTTGTAGAAATTATTTTTTTGCAGAATTTGCGCAGATTTGTATAAACTACCATAGTACTGAAATAATTCATAAGGATGTTTTGTTCATTTTACTTGCTTACTATTTTGACTTAGCGGCATGGACATGCTATATATGAATATTATTGTCTAGTCTTGTTTGTGCCTTCGCATTATCTGGTATGATAGTTGTGTAAAATACTCGAAATATAAAATGTTGCTGTACTCTTGGGACTTTGGATGTTAAATGTGGCATCCCATTGGGTTGTTGCTTAGGTGCAATAAGTAACTCAGACGTGTACACCCTAATGTATATAAAATGATAGGGAAGCATACTATAGTAATGGGAGAAGTGGTGTTAATGTTAGGTTGGAGTATTTGTGTTTCTCATGGAACTTCAAGCAATTTGTGCCTCTTATTTGTGTGTATTAATCAACTCTCCATGCATCTTATTGTGTATGATTCCCCTATCATGGGATTTGGATCAACAAGAAGTGTTTGATATACTGTTTCGTTTGTGTTGATTTTATCATACATTTGATTGCTCGCATTCAGATATCATTTTGAGTTAGAGAAGATCAGCTAGTTTAAAGACTAGTTCCCCTCTGCTAAGATTGTTTTTATGAGTATTGGAGAAAGACATTCATTTAGAATACTTCAGTGCTTTGTTTGATATTTCTTATAGGCACGGGACTCTACATCCTTAGTCTTGTTTTATGATTGGAAATACGTTAATTTGTGTAACCGTGTAAGCAATTATAATATTATCTTGTTTCATTTGATAATTGGTTACAGAAATGATGTTTGTTGGAGTAGAGGAGACACATTGCCAATTGAAAATCTAAGCAGTACTGAACTTTTGGTGACAGGATGCACTCAAACAATTGTGGAGGTTAGCTTACCCTGGTAGAGAACTCCCAGCGCTGAAATCAGAGCTTTGGAAAGAGATGGGATGGCAGGGATCTGATCCTTCAACAGATTTCAGGTGTGTGGGAATATAAAGTCATTTTTATTACGACTTCTGTACAAATTGGTATTTATTTGGGAATTATGATGTAATTTTTAGGGGTGGAGGATTCGTATCATTGGAGAACCTTATCTTCTTTGCCATGACATATCCGGTTTGTATTTTCTCCATTGGCACGAGTTTCTTGTATCTTTCATTATTAGCATTGACTGGTTAAAACATTTTCTTTGTTCTAGGTGACAATAACTGCATAGAAATTTTGATGAGGGTGTTCTGTTCTTTTCTTTATTTAGGTCATCTGGAAATTAAAAAAAAATGTAAAAAGTAGTTTTTGTATCTACTTCTCTTTTTAACAGGAAGCGTTTCAAAACTTGTTGCACAAGAGAGTTGGAGATAGGTCGGAATGGGAGTATCCTTTCGCTGTAGCTGGTATCAATATTTCTTTTATGCTGGTGCAAATGTTAGATCTTCAATCAGGTACGCCTTTGCTGATTTTTGTGTTTCTGTTTAGAAAAGAAAACTAAAACCGAATTTATAACATTTTTGGAAATGGTGTAAGTAAACATGTTTTTCGTTTTTCATCAATATTGCCCTCGTGCGATAAAATATTAAACGCTACTTCGAAGTTCAAAATATACTAAAAAAATTGTTCTAGAGTCGTCTTTTCTTAAAATGTTCCCACCTAGGCTCTTAGCATTTGATTGCAAGCTTGCCCGGTTTATTAGTAACACAACACCGACATGAATGCTTCCATCCATTTTGTTGGTTTTGTGTACTTCCAGTGCAAACATGACTGCAGGATAAGGAGCATTCTTCTAATTCTTGAAGACGGAGTCCGCCTGTAAAATTCATGGCCAATGATAATATTGAGATTATGGTTTTAATTAAATTATACATCATTCTCGCAGGAAAGCCAAATACGATAGCTGGAGTTCGATTCCTGGAATTATTAGGGGAAGATGAAATGGCCTTTGACAACCTTTTCTGCATTGCCTTCGAAATGTTGGATGCACAGTGGCTTGCAAAGCATGCCTCGTACATGCAATTCAACGTAACAAGAAACGCTGTCCCTTTCTTTTTTCCCTGATTCCCTCTGTATTGAGTCAAAGAAATTAATTACTGATTTTGCTCGTCATTTGTCGATTTTTTCTTCACAGGAAGTCCTCAAGTCTACGAGGGTGCAGCTAGAGCGCGAGCTTGCACTTGATGATGTCTACAATGTAAAAGATTTACCAGCTTACAATCTGCTATTGAAAAGATGATGCATTTGAGAACACCTACTTTTAAGATAAATTTTTATTTTAAAAAAAAAAATCTCTATAGGGTATTAAGCACAATTCTTATAAAATTAAACGGTTAATTCATATCCACTCTTGTATACTGTGGCATAAAGTTGAGCAATTTCTTCGAAATGTAATTTATGTCATTCTGGAAATCATTCCCAGTGATATTGCATTACTCCATTGGATTTGCTCCAATACTTTGTCCATTCAAAAATTTCAGAAGCTTCCTGCAAATCCTAATTAGTGTCAAAATTAAAAATTAAAAAAAAAATCTTGAAAATCAAGAATATTATATGCGTCAACATTATTCGTGTGACACTATAAAAATCACAAGTTTTTCCATCATTGTGAACGTCTAATCATCGGAATACTCGACAGAAGTGTCCAAAGTGTTAATAAATTCACAATACTTGCCTTTCACGAGTGAAGTAGGATATTATTGTTGGAATTTTGTATTGAAATTTGGTTGTGACAAATTGAAATGATTTAAGTGGAAATTCCTTGTTTGGTGAATGAGAAATTAAGCCAAACTTAAACCACTTAATATTTGAAATTATTGGAATTGTGTAGAATATTGTGGAATATTCTAGAGAATGTAGATGAAAAGATGTGTCTTTTCATATGGATCATGTCTCTTAAAGAGCATGACTTTTGGTATGAGTAACTTCCAATATTTATGATTATTC